GAGGACATGGTGAGATTTTTAAGCTCAGAGCGCACACATTCATTAGGCAAAACTTTCCCCATTTCGGGTAGTAGCTGCGTGGATCGACTCTCCTCCGGCGGTTGTGTAGTGGTCTGGCTCCCCAATAGGTTATTTTACCAGGAGTGTGTGAAAAAGAAATAAAAATAATTACGCTAGGTTTGGTATACAAAAATAAATTGATGAGATGGAACGGACTCACTAACAATTGTTCTCTTTAAAATGGTTCGTCGTTGTCCCAGGTCAACGAAAAATCAATGATCCAATTATGTTGTCCAGAGGTCTTTTCTGAACAGTTCCCACATATAATAGATTCCGAAGATGTCTGAAATGTTTTGGTACCAGAGTTAGTACATGAGACTCGCGAATGACCGCTGCAAGCGCGAGCGAAATCAGAAGAGAGAGTCGAAGCCCGTGACCACGCTTGTATTATGTGAAATTGTACAAGTGCGCGTTTTTGTAGTTTTTCGTATTCAAACCAAAAACGATTATGCAATTGATGAAATACGTAGTGTTATAATGTAAATGAAATGAAGGTTAAAATGGGCCACAATTTTCCACCCTGTTTCTTGAACCCAGTTCAAACCACTACTATGCATTTATCTATGCGACTCGCGCTGGCAAGCATACTGCACCGCGCTGAGAACATAAAGAGCAGTGCTGCACCCCTTTTCACTCGTGCCTTTCAGACGAACGAAAGCCGCTAAACGACAAGAACAAAACCGACCCGGGAATCTTGGGCAAAAGGCTCGATCCTCTGTACCAATCCGTGAATTCGTGAGCCTCAACATTTTTGAGGCGCTTCATTTGGTTGTGCTCGTCGATTCCGCGCGGCGGGCTTTTATTGTGTGCTGTTCGGGAACCATGTCTCGTGTTCAGGTTTTTTCGGTGCTAGCTCACCATACTGAAAGTGTGTGGTCGTAAACATTGGCTCGGGGACCTCACGTTATCATCCAAAGCCCGTCAATTGTGCTGACGTACGGAATGATCGATATGTTCCACTATATACCACCTCATAGGATCTACTATGAAGTTATGTCGTTTTGGAACACTTCAGTCTTCGGGGAAGTAGCTTACTTGAACTGGAGTCCGTCCGCGAAACACGCGTTGTCAAAATCTGTTCGCTGACTATTACCCCAATTGCCCTTGCTTTTGGGGTGAGACTCTTCAGGAACTGTCACGTGGGGGTTGAAAAGTGCACGAAGGATGTTGACTTCAAGTCAGCGAAGCCAAGCAGCACCGTATTAGGCACGAAGGTTGGTTCCTTATGTAAAAAAGGAACCAAAGTTTAAAGCCGGAAACGGGGATCTAGATACAGTTCCACACGAGCATATCGCGCTGAGGCCTGAAGGAAAACTAATGAGCAATTTTGTAAAGCGGTGTGACGTGTTCAACATCCTGGACCCCCTGTATTTCCGAGCCATACGTCGCTGTGATCGTCCCACAATGATCAGCCGCCACGCTAATGTACACTCTATCGAACTGTAAATGAAAAGGCAGTCGGTGGTATCTTCGGACTGGTGAAGTGTCTGTTTGGAGTCCCCATGGTCTTTTAATGGCCCCTATAGTGTTGAATAATGCTGCCTAGCCTCTATTGCCGGTCCCTCTTCGTCGGAACTTGAGGCGTATATCTCCATGGAGCGTTCTTTGGTGCGGAGTATTGGACGGTGGAGGGACAGGAAAACAGGTGATGGCACCGACAGGAGATCATACAAACATCGCAAAAGAGAGATGTAACAAAAGGATGTGAACAACAAGCATTGGACGGTGTTAAAGCCAAATAGATATCGTAAATATGGATAAGTGGAAATATACACGAAGATTTATTTGGTCCAGTGTGCGCGAGTCATGTGGCTGTGGTTCAGAAGCCACAGGTTACCTACTGACGCCCACCACAACTTAACCACATGGCTCTGCAGTTGGCGAATTAGTCTATTTTGCTTCCATTACCAAGATCGTTGATTTTGGAGGCACTGAGTCCACTTGTACCATGGTTCATATTTAGAAAGGGCGCCACTACTCGGGCAACGTAATCACCTGTTTATGATCCTCGACGGAGTACTCAGACAAGATGTTATCTACCTGTCGGGAGTATTTTATTGCCACTTCTGTCCCAGAATAAAATGAGAACTCTTAGCGTTGACATAAATTGCAATAAACTTTCCTTGGGCGCTCTTGTTGATAAATTCCTGACTCCGGTTAGCCATAAGTATCATCAAGTTGTGTTGTCAGTAAGCCACCAGAGCGAATATAAACAACGAGACTTCTGAAGATCTTGCTAAAAATATCGAAGAAACCAAATATTACTCATTGCGATTAGCATGGCCAAAATGGGACAGTGGTTCTCGTGGATACTGGCTTATTGACATCACACGATGTAGCAACCCTGGTTCACGCACTGCGTGAACCAGAGAAGCAATTAACCTTACCATTGACAGTAGTATCAATATATGCTGTGGACTTTGGGGCAGTTCAGCTGATTGCGTCCTCTTCATACTTGATACTCAGTTTGTTTCAGAGATTTTTGAAAGTTTCAAACACCTTGCCGTTGTTCCGACCTCTCACCATTCTTTTCATCATTTACTACGGCTTTTACCCATAGTTCCACTACTGCTGTATTGCTGTGCTTGAAGATAATTGCCCATAACTTCTCGGGATAAATACCTCTCGTGGACTGACTGCAAATGGAGGCACGAATCGACACATAGAGTTCATCATGCAGAAATCTTGAGACCAGTTCATTTCGAAACATGCTTTCAATGTGGAGGACTCGCGAGGGGCCTGGCGTAGACCAGTTGTTTTCCTGTGCTCACCCATCTGCGCCCAAGTCGGCGCCGCAACTGATGTAAGAGGATACCAACTTTGAGTCGGTAATGCAGCCATCGTGCATGTGCCCACTATTCGTTAGCCCCTCGAAAGCAGTTCAGTATGCACAGGCAACACCATCAGTCGAGAAGAGCGCTCACGGTGTTATAAAAGTTGTCTTATGAACAGGACGGGAGGATATATGAGAACAGACTGACTAGTGAAAAGTAAAATTAATGGAGGTGGGAGATGGGGCGGCAGAGGTTGGCTGGAACACTTCATAAAGAACAGTTGTAAGTGGTATAGCGCACCGTCAAGACCGACATACAATGGCTGCACAGCGCTTATATACAAGAAGAATGGCCAAATACTGCTTTTGGATATAAGCGGACCTTTAGCATATGCGTTGGCGCCACCAACATACTTGTCAATGGCCTGGGGTTTCGGATGTGCGAACGTCATAGAATAGTGAGGAAAGATATGACTGTCCCTGAGAAAGGCTGATGTGTATGTAAGCGCTTGCGACAAGCAGTTTGCCCCAGAAGCATACTATATTCCTATGTGAATCACCGTTTTCGCAGGTACAAGGATTTTCCGATCGTGGTTGGTGATGATGAAAAAAATATGGCGATAAGCCTGAAACACGGCTGAAGTCAGAATACTTCACATCGCGCTAGGCTGCAGCAAAACAGTTACCTCAGGCTAATAGCCGAGCAGCACGGTGTATACGGTAGGTAATTTTATACAATAAACTGTCAGAAGGCTCCTCGATCGGTTGAACCTCATCGTTTCCGTGCTTCATTCTCCGTGCTGTTCTGTGTTTCATTCATAGTGGACTTTGACCTAGCACAGGAGGATATGAAAGATTACGAAAAGTCCGATAGTCTTATTGGCACTAGCTTTAAACACATTAGATGAGGTTGAGCTGGTGTCTTCCTTTTGGTAACCAACAGAAATCAACAGAGCCAGCTTGGTCGGATAGCCCTTAGCTGCCGATGGCGACGCTCTGCTCTCGAAGGGTATCTTTACAAAAATACCCAACGTCGATTCAGATCATGGTCTATTCTGGTGTAAATCTTTGATAAACTCCGTGACGAAATCGAAAAATCGACCTTTTCGTTTATTCGTCGTACACTTTCCCACCCATCAGTTAACCAATCTCATCAAAGGTTAAACTGGCTGATGAAAAGTAGGAGTTTGGGCAGCCTGGCAGTATCCGAGCCATCGTACTTCCTTCTGGTGGCATGACAATCAGGCATCGAAAGGGTGCTTCAGCTGAACGATTTCGAACATATTTATGTATGTAATATAACATATCGCTCAGCTGCTACACCCTTCCGGCATTTAGCTATCATGCCATCCGAAGGAAGCACGGATGCTGACACTGCAAGATTGCCCAAACCTAGACAGAAGCAATCGAGATACAGAGGACTCTGAACAGATGAACTCTGAACATACAAATAGCAGTGATTTTGTGTGTTCGTCGAAAGTGTTTCTGCATCCGAATTGAAACTCAATCAACCCAATAATCCAGTTCGATCGAAGTAGCTTCCGCGTTAAAAACAAACGGTACCCCAAAAAAGAACCACAGACTGAACCAAACTGCTTGAAACGATGACATTTCGACTGGTCTTAAACTTTATCGTACCACTAACCGACTTTTGTACGATAACTAATCTAACAGACTAGAGAATAACCAAACAGCGATTTTAAAGCGATTGATAGCAGAGACGTTTACGATAAAACGACCACACCTTGTGCGGCCGTGTCTGAATGAGCTCGCCGAATGGATGAACAAGGGTTAGACCGAACAACTTTTAATAAATGCTATCCACTGTGACGATTCGGACGGCCTATGTGTTCAGGCTGAATCGGATAGCTGTACTATTGAGCAGAGATGGCGGTATGTGGGAGATGGCCCAAGTGGTTGGAGTGCTATTTTCTGACCGGGAGGTCCGTGGTTCGAATCCGACCTCCGCCACTCGACTTTCCGTGTCTAGGCTCGGGCGACTTGGCAGTATTACAGCCCTCTTGCTTCCTTCGGGTGGCATGGCAGCTAGGCATCTGAAGGGTGCCACAGGTGAACGCTTTCTTTTTCTTTCTTTCTTACTATTGAGCACCGCGTGGAACTTCGAGTCCACAACTGCTTGGCTTGCGCTGTGTTCCACGTCCATGTCCCTCAAGGAGGACGCGGTTGGCTTACTTCTGCGGCGATGTTCCATGCACTTTACGGCGAGCCTCTTTTCGGGGTTTCGTATGGTCTTTTGTTTTCGTATATTCCATCAGCGGATTTCTGCTTTACAGCGTTTCGAGATTTTCCGAAACACCAGCTCATCTGTCTCCTGTGGTAAACTTTTTCATAAAAATTTGAGGACTCTTTCCCAGAGAACGGTGAATTCTATTAGGTGATGCTGTGGCTTCCTGGACTGTCGTGCAGCTCTGTATCGTTCCCTTGTTTTACTGCTCCGCCCACTGTGGTATATCACAAAGCACGGTAGCTACAGACAGGCATTTATGAAGGCAATGGAAGATGATTACAGCTGTATTTATAGGGTAATCAGAGGGCGTTTCCTAAGGTCATGCTAGAATCTCCGTGAGGCGGTGAGGAGTTTCAAGATAAGGATGCTCTATCCCGATTGGTTTGCATTCTGACCAATCAGGACATGGCTTCGTTTGGTCCGTAGTCCGCACGCGACACGTCCATCCGGCTGACGTGCCGTTCGGTTAGTAGGGATGGCTGGATCCAGACGGGTAGTTTGCGGTCCGTCCGACCTCGTTCTGAGTTTTTCGGCATGAACATGGCGTCGGCCTCGTAAACCTTCTCGACGATGGTCGTATATAACCTTTTCGGTGCAGCTAGCCCCACGGGGCCAGTAGTTTAAATTTTTCAATGAAGCTAGCTATTTGTGGGAAGTCTGCATAGCACAAGTTTCGAATCCAGTTTGAGGTTCGGGATTTCTGGCCGAGCAGTAGATAAAATTAAAGACCAACACACTGGTTAATATGTCCCAGTGGGACATTAATTGACGAAAGCCTTCATCGATCTAGTGTCAATTATAATTGGCAAATATTTTGTTCGAGTTTGTTCGAACAAAGTTCTTTTGGTCTATTACGAGACTGCCAGAACTGACATGCCCAGGTAGAGAAACCTTCCAACTACCTCATGTGGTTCACCCGCAAGCATGAGGCTAAGATTCGACCCTACCCAGTCTTGCAGTAGCAGTTTGTACTTTGCAGGTGTGATGTGCATGCCAAATTGTGAGGCAGAATTACTAAAATTATTAAAAATTGTATTACCACGTCATCAGATTCAAGAAGAGTTATGTCGTCTGCGTACTCGATATTTGTGAGCAGACACCTCGGGAGAACTTCGAACCAACAGGCGTTGGAGGCTGATAATGAGTCTCCCATAATCTTATCAATGACGAAGTTGAAGAAGAAAGGTGGAAGAGGGCAGCCCTGTCTGGTGTGGTATACGTTGTCTGTCAGTTTGATTGATTCATATGTAAGTATTGGTGATGTACAACCTTGCTTACTGGGCTCTGGCTCATGAGCTTTGTTTCTGTTTTCCATCCACA